ATAATAGTATCATTATGTATCAAACCCACAAAATAAGACAACGACATTCAAATCGTCATAGTACAAATTTAATAAGTTTGAAATCATTCCAATTCAAATCACAATGATAATGACATAGATATCATTTATTTTCATTAGAATAAAAATGTTCTCATAGTTTCTTTTGAGGGAGATTGAACCCACTTGATTATCTATTTTTATCATCCTACATATACCAGATGCATGACTGGTGGTCATAGACAGTCGAATCGTTATTTTTAGCATAAACGATATAATTGTCTTTTTATTTTAACTGAAACGATATGTACGTAGTTTTAGTTATGATTTAAGTTAAAATGATATCAACATTATCAAACTTGTATTGAAACAATAATGATATCGTTAAGTGTCAAAATCACAAATAAAGTAATGACATTCATATCGTTTTAGTACAAATTTGACGAGTTTGAAATCGTTCCAATTCAATTCACAAGTATAATGGCGTAGATATCGTTTCTTTTCATATAAAATAATAATTATATCGTTCTAGTTAAAAATAACGATTCGACCGTTCACAACCATCCGTCATGCTTTCAACATACATAGGACGATCAAAAGATGTTATCAAATGGATTGATACCACTCGAATGACTTAGAAAGAGCAAACGAAGATACTTCTGTCAGAATAGTTCGAAGGTGGTATACAATCATGAGAATAAAAATGTTCTCATAGTTTCTTTCGAGGGAGATCGAACCCACTTAATTATCTATTTTGATTATCCTACATATGTCAGATGCATGTCTGGTGTCGTGGACGGTCTAATCATTATTTTTAGCAAAAACGATAAAAGTATCGTTTTATTTTAAATGAAACGATATGCGTGTAGTTTTAGTTATGATTTAAACTAAAACGATATCAACGTCGCTAAAATTGTATTGAAACGATATTGATATCGTTATGTATCAAAATCACAAATAAAGTAACGATATTCATATAGTTTTAGTACAAATTTGACGAGTTTGAAATCGTTCCAATTCAAATCACAAGTATAACGACGTAGATATCGTTTCTTTTCATATAAAACGATAATTATATCGTTTTGGATAAAAATAACGATTCGACCGTCTACAACCATCCATCATACCTTTAGGATACGTAGGACGATCGAAAGAGGTCATCAAGTGGGTTAATACCACTCGAATGACTTGGAAAGAGCAAACGAAAATAGTTTCTATCTGAATAGTTTGAAGATGGTATACAATCATGAGAACAAAAATGTTCTCATAGTTTCTTTTAATGGAGATCGAACCCACTTGATTACCTATTTTGATCATCCTACATATGTCAGATGCATGTTCGGTGGTCGTGGACGGTCGAATCATTATTTTTAGCAAAAACGATATAAGTATCATTTTATTTTAACTGAAACGATATGCGTGTAGTTTTAGTAATGATTTAAACTAAAACGATATCAACGTCGTCAAAATTGTATTGAAACGATATTGATATCGTTATGTATCAAAATCATAAATAAAGTAACAACATTCATATCGTTTTAGTACAAATTTGACGAGTTTGAAATCGTTCCAATTGAAATCACAAGTATAACGACGTAGATATCGTTTCTTTTCATATAAAACGATAATTATATCGTTCTGGATAAAAATAACGATTCGGCCGTCCACAACCACCCATCATACCTTTAGGATACATAGGACGATCGAAAGAGGTCATCAAGTGGGTTGATACCACTCGAATGATTTGGAAAGAGCAAACGAAAATACTTTCTGTCGAAATAGTTTGAAGATGGTATACAATCATGAGAGCAAAAATGTTCTCATAGTTTCTTTAAAGGGAGATCGAACCCACTTGATTATCTATTTTGATCATCCTACATATGTTAGATGCATGTTCGGTGGTCGTGGACGGTCGAATCGTTATTTTTAGCAAAAACGATATAAGTATCGTTTTATTTTAACTGAAACAATATGCGTGTAGTTTTAGTTATGATTTAAACTAAAACGATATCAACGTCGTCAAAATTGTATTGAAACGATATTGATATCGTTATGCATAAAATCACAAATAAAGTAACGACATTTATATCGTTTTAGTACAAATTTGAATAGTTTGAAATTGTTTCAATTTAAATTACAAGTATAACGATATAGATACCATTTCTTTTCATATAAAACGATAATTATATCGTTCTAGCTAAAAGTAGATTTGACCATCCACAACTATCCGTCATGCCTTCAATATCGTTACGTTGTTCAGTGCACTTTTTTATTGGAAGGACATCTATATCGTTTTGACTTTCAGGAACGACTTCCATATCATTCTTAGAATGAATGCATTTTTGTACTAGAACGACTTATATATCGTTTATGTATAGTCATAACGACTTTGATGTCATTACCAAAATAAGTTAAGCAGTGTGTATTTCATACTAAAACGATATAGAAATCGTTTTTTTTTACAGGAACGGTTTCAATATCGTTATGTTATTCACTCTACATTTTTTTATTTGAACGACATTTATATCGTTTTGTGCTTCAAGAACGACTTCAATTTCGTAATTAAAATTAATACATTTTTGTACCACAACGATCTTAAACACTTTGTTTCAGAAGGAAGAAAATATATATCGTCATTAGATTGATTGCATTTACATCAATTGTAACTATATGAACGTCGTTTGCATTTCAATAGTGTAAAAGCATTTCAATAGCACAATGATTACAAAATTTAATAAATCATCTTGTACTTCGAATAAGTACAAAATTATAAAGTTACAAGTCAGGAAAATATTACAACCTTAATCTCAGACGATTATTACTTGAGAATTTCAAGAAGCAAGAATGTTTTGGAAAAAAATTATAAAAATAAAAATGAACTGTCGATTAATATAGTCTTTATGGATCCATTGAATAATTTTGATAATTTATAATCTCAGCACTGTCACAAACTTATGAACTTGGATTATGAATTATGATGATAAACCAGGAAGTTCACCTAGCATATAAGCCAGCCATTACATTATAGTTTTATCCTACACACATACACACACACACTTTCGACCTACATTTTGATGAAATTAAAGGAATAAATTGCTTAAAATGCTGGACCAATTATTTCTATGTAAAAAAGTCACCAGCAGTAGCACCTAAAGAAAAAGGAAAAAAAACGACGTTCCCCATTTTTCTTTGGGTCGAGGATGGGAAAGGCTGACATAATATTTGACCTGCTATGTTCAATTCCTCTTAGAGCAAAGTTGAGTAAGCATGTCCCTTAAGAGAGCTCCAGTACGAAATCACAAAGTAAACATCCAAGTTTCTGAATCTTTATATTGAAAGCAAGTAAATGAGCAAGATAACACACACGATTGTTATGTAATTTGTAGGAAATAATTCCAAATCAATTATCTATTATAAATATAAATGAAATAATAAGAAAGTATGCTCCAACAAAGCCAAGGTATTGGTTTCTATTTCAAGGTATTGATTTATTCCATCTTATTTGGGAATAAAAACATGTAATCCACCGATATCTTATGACTATACTCGTAACCATTTGAAGTTGTGAATAGATTATTTAATCATTCGATTTTTCCAATTAAATTCCAAAAAAGTTGTGAATT